AAATATATATTTTTACAGTATAACAATAAAAGAGATGTTGTGGAAGATCATTCATCTCATATAAAATATTCTAGAAGAGAATCTTAATATAAATCTGCAAATATCATAGTAATGATCTATATAATTAGTTAAATAAATATAAAAGATTCTTCTCAAAATACAATTTATATCAGTTTATATAATCTTTATCAGAAAAGTCCGCGTTTCTTTGTCACACAAAAATATATGTATATGCATGAGTGTATGTGTACATACACACACAAATATACATAAATTTACAACACAATCTTTTGCACAATCCAGTTACTAAATATATTTATATTTCCGATATGTATATATAGGATGTCTTTTAACATCATGTTCAATTCATTAGATACGAGACATCCTATACAACTATCTTATTAAAGAGGACACACCCTTCTCTCGTTATATGTATATGTATAACACATTCAAAATTCTTTTTGTGATATACAAGAATAACTGAGAATATTAGAATACAGATTCCAGAAAAGTTACTAATAATTATAATTGATATTAAAAATTTTAAACTTTAGCAATAACAGTAATAGATATATCATTATCATATTGCACTATAATATCGCTTCAAAATAATAGTTGCAATAAATGTATATCACAATTCTCTCTCTAATAATTCAATCTTAATTTTCTAATAAAGTTTATAAAATTTGTAGAGACTCTTATTTCCGCCATGAAAAATATAGCATATGCATCTTACATATAGCATCTATTATAATTAGAAAGAGGAAAGAAAGAGCTAAAATTAGGCTGAGTTCAGGGAGCATGCTTACGCCCTAAAAGTATCGTTTATCTTTGTTACTTACCGAAAGTTGAATAAGGACAGAGGATTGTTGTAGCGCTAAAAGCATGCTCCCCGAACCCAGCCTTAGAATTGCGGCTTCCATTAAAATATACTTTCAAAAATAATATCTTCTTCCGTCAAATTTCACGAATTATCTCACGACTAGCGAAAATCACGATATTTTTAGATTCTTGATGCAAAAAATTTATCGTTTTTGCACTAAGTGTTTTACTTTTATATAAAATTATTCATACAAAGTTTTATATAAACAAACAAAAAATTCATTATATTCTCTCTTGCCTAAAATTTTAAAAAGTGTATCAAATATGGTGACTATGTATCATAATAGTGACTATTTTATTTAATAACAATTATTTATATAGAAGCAAAGAGAGAGAAAGAGAGAGAGAGTAAAATACATGTCTAATCGTTAATATTTTGACAAAAACAACATACTTTTTGCACTAATCTAATAGTTTTCAGAAAATTACATTACACCCGCATAGATTCGCATCAATTTGACGAATTTTCTTGCTCAGACTGCAGCAGGGCTAATACGCGGAGTTGTATTAACCGGGGAGAGAGGACACCCATGGACCTCTAAATCGAGTTCGGAAGTCGAGAGACAATCTCTCATAACCCTATTCCATCTGTCGGTACTTTCGTTGGCGACTACATAAGTTTGCGTGATCCTTGGCTCTACAACATCAGTCTCGGGCCTCTCCAGAGCACGTAATGCTTCTTGATGTATGATAATCTCATTGGTGATGTACGCTTCGCGACGTATCTTGTCCCGTAATTTTGGGCTTATATCAGGAATACACCATCGTACTAAGTTCATCACGAATGCCACGACATTCTGCGAAATATACACAAAATAATATATTATGATAATGATTAATAATTATTAGTAGTAACTGTATATAAAATAGCCCAATAAATGTGCGACACACACTATCTTCTTCATTTACTGATTGAAAGAAGATAGATCGATGTGAAAAGCAAATAATCTAAACATTAGCATATATTTGAATAAAAAAACATACCTCAAAAACGACGATAAAAGCTAATCTAGCCGCTAGTATATGCCAAAACATGATGGTGTAATCATACTTGTTTGGCGAGTCTGGTGATTCTCTGTAATCTTGATAACGGCAAATCTCGATTGGGGCTTGACCTAATGACGCCATAGGTTGAGTGCCACTTTTCAGATCGCTAGTATTAAATTTTGACAGAGAATGCTCTAGGAAACCTTCTAATGAATAATTATCAGAAATTGTTATACGATAAACTAGCCTTGGTATAAAATTTGAAGTAAAAGCTATGATGAATGCCTGAAAAAATAGAAGTGATAGTATGCTATTTAAAAAAATAGTTGACATAATTATTAAATCATAAACTTCATGTTTAATACAATTATTAAATTCCATATTTCTATTTCCTTGCATAAAAAATTAAACTTACATTAGTAATAACGGATAATTTGGAAATGGAATCAAGAATGCGGTACCATATGCCTATATCTCTCACGCGCTGTCCGACCGGTCTTCTATACATGGTCAATAACTTTTTCGCATCCAATCTCATCTCAAAAACATTATTCAATAATGCAAAGAATGGCGCCAAGGGAAATGCAGCGACAAAAATTGTAACAAATCCATATTGTAGCACTGATATATATATATATATCTACATATATATATATATGTGTGTGTAACACATATTAGTATGTGTTTATATATTTATATATCCATATATTTATACATTTATATATTTATACGCGATCTTCTCCGCGCACGCATTTATTTTATTATTTATATATCCTTTCTAAAAGTCTAAAAGTTATATTGCTTATTAACATTTTACTTTTTATTAATAGCTGACTTCTTATTTATTGTTATTAAGTAATTATATTTATACATTTTATTTGCTTTTACTATACAGATTCCTAATTGTAAGATTTGTTTAATTTCTATTTTTTTTTTAATTTTCCAAAAAGTAAAATTTAAATAAGATTAAAATTTTAATTTATAATAAATAATTATAAAAGACAAAGTAAAAAATTGTGTTTATAATAAAATTTTTATACTTGTGTTATATAATCATAAACTAAAAAAGTTAATTACAGTGTTATTAGCTGTTTTAAGATTATCTCTTAAAATACGATTTAAAATGGACTAACTTTACAATGTGATACATTCCTTTTTGTCATTGCACTCTATATACGTCTGTCAAAAAATATTTTATCTTACGAACAAGTGTTATGCATAAGATATGCATTGTCTAAAGTTGATGACTTAAAGTTGCAGATCAAACTTAATGAAATAGTAATTATACTTTAACAATATGTTTGAAACTTTACTTATGTACTCAAATAATTATTATAAATTTAGAAATCAGTTTCCATGAAAACAGTTTGCTCTTGAATTGAAACCTGCAAAAGTAAATTAGTAATAATATTAACATATAAAAGTAATTAATCAAAATATTTAAAAAACATGTATATTTATTTGTGTGTGTGTGTGTGTGTGTTTGTATCAATTAGAGAGCATCGAAGAGTCAGATGAATATAAATATTTAAGTTCAATGTAAGATAGAAATAATTTTATAATATTATTTTATATTATTTTATATTATTATTTTTTATTTTTTACTTATGTTTTACTTACATTACTCCAATCATATATAATTGATGGTTCAGCTTCTACATGTGCTTGTGCATGTTCTACACGTTGTGCACGTTCTGCACGTTCTGGTTGATGATCTGGATTAGGATTAGACCTACAAAAGTTTGCATGATGCTCTTGAATTGAAACCTGCAAAAGTAAATTAGTAATAACATTAACATATAAATATAATTAACAAAAATATAAAAAATATATATATATATTTATT